GACCCCTGGCCCTCTACCAACGGGCAAAGCCGCCCTCGTCGCTTTTCCAAAAGTGGAAAGCGGAAGCGGGGCGAAAATCGTCGGAAGGCGGCAGGGGCGCCCAGTCGTGCCAGAGCTGCACCCCCTATGATTTCCTCGCCGACTGGCCAACCCGCGTGCCCCGACACGCGCGTCACGACGCCTGCTGGCTCTAGCTCATTGGTTGCGCGCCCCGACACTGCAGCACCAACCAGGTCGCCCCCATCGCGATGCGTGGATGACCCCGCCCATGCTGCGGCTACTCCAGAAGTGGCCAATCCCAACGCGCATGTGGATCGGGATGGCTCCACGGACCGCCTGTCATTGGACAGCGAGGTCCTAGATTCGCCGCCCTCGGTCCCCGCGCCTGATCCGCTGTCAGGGCAAAGCAGAGCTCTGCCTCCGCCCCCTCCTGCCCGTCCCGCGTCACCTACGCGTCACCTGCTGACCAGTCCACGGAGAGATCCCCCCAGCTGGAGCCCACCCAGCAAGCTGCCCGCGACCAAGCCCTTTTGGAGGATCCCGCTTGTGGCGTGCTGAGCAAGGATGCACCCTCGGGCCCCCTCGCGGCCCAGCCCCCTGAAGACCAGCATGAGGCCTAGCCTGCCGAGGAGGGGCATGAGGCCCAACATGGCACGCTCATAGATGGCGCCGCCCACGCGACGTGCCCCGCTAGTCCAAGCCCTGCCACGCGCTTTGCGTCACGTCCCATCACGATGCGCCGGTCCCGCCTCAGCGCGGCTGTCACGCCGACGTGGACCCTTGGCGACTTCCTCGCTGCGGCTACCAAACAGATCGATGCAGCCCTCCCGATCCCTGGCAAGCGACCACGGAGATGCCCGCCCAACTTCTCCCCATGCCGTGGGCGATCGACCTCGACCGTAGCTTGTAAGGCTGCCCCCCCCCCGGCCGAGAGGCGCACCCAAGTTCACATCTTGCACACCCTTGGTGTCATTGGAGTCAACCAGAGGATCATAGCCGTTGAGATGAAGGTGTATGACGACCTCTTTGCAGCGCCCATCCCCCTGTCAGTCCTATCGGCCATCGCTGCATTGGTGGATCGCGAGCTCCCCGTAGATCCTGCCGTCGCGCCGATCACCACGGTGATCGCGGGCAGCCCGATCGAGGCCTAGCTGCGCCCCCACGCCCTTCGTCGACCTCGTCCTCATGGAGCACAGCCCCAAGATCTTGATATGGAACGTGTGCGGCCTCAACGCGCACGCACGTCGTACTGCTGTCGGGTCACTTGTTGTAACCGCCAACGCATCCCTCGTCTGTTTGCAAGAAACTAAGATGGCTTTGATCGGCTCGTCGACTGTCCTCGAAGCCCTCGGTTCAGAATTCGGTGACTACGTGTACCTGCCCGCGCTAGCAACCCGTGGCGGCATTCTGTTGGCCCGGAAGAATAGGGAGATAGTCATCACTGACCCCCTATTCACCGCCAACGCCTTGACCACCCGTGTTTCCACTCCCGCCGGCGCTAGCACACCGTGGTGGATCACCGTGGTCTACGGACCGCAGCCGGACGAGGCCAAGATCGCCTTCCTGCAGGAGCTCTGCGACATACGTATGGATTGCACCGGGCCTTGGATGATTTGCGGGGATTTCAACCTCATATATCGCGATGAAGACAAGAACAACGGGAGCGTCAACCGACGCATGATGGGTCGCTTCCAGCGCACCCTCAACGACCTAGCGCTCAAGGAGGTTTACCTTAAAGGTCGCTGCTACACGTGGTCAAACGAGCAGTCGTCCCCGACACTGGTCCACCTTGACCGTGTCCTTTGCACCGCCGATTGGGAGGAGTTGCATGGTGAATGCCACCTCCGTTGCCTCGCCTCGGTCGTCTCCGACCACAGTCCCTTGCTGCTTGATTGCTCGCCGGTGCCACCGACGCATCGCCGCTTCCGCTTCAAGGACTTCTGGACGCACACGGACGGGTTTCATGACACCATGGAGGCTGCATGGCAATCCGTGAGTGACATCGACCCCTTCCGCCACCTCATGCTGCGCATGCAAGCGACCGCGCATGGGCTCACAAGTTGGAGCGCCAAACGGTGGGTAATGTGCGCCTCAAGCTTGCGATCTCTTAGGAGCTCCTCCTCAAGTTCGATACCGCGCAAGATCATAGAGCCTCGTCTCCTCATGAGGACTGGCTGCGCCGGCAAATCAAGGCCTCCTACCTTGGCCTCGCCTCGCTCGAGCGGACTATTGCCCGGCAGCGCTCCCGCCTCGCCTCACTCAAGGACGGTGACCCCAACACGTCCTTCCACAACCTTGTGGTCGACGGGCAAGTGATCACAGACCCCTGCGACATGGCCGTTGCGGCGTATGCGCACTTTGATGGCCTCCTGGGCTTCACGCCCCCCTGTGAGTGCGCTCTGGAGCTTGAGGCGCTGATCACGCCCTTCAACTTGGACGACCTCAAGGCCCCCTTCGACGCCGAGATATGGAACGATGTTAAGCACCTGCCCGCGCGCAAGGCCCCTGGCCCCGACGGCTTCATCGCCGAGTTTCTTCACGCATGCTGGCCCATTGTTCAGCAGGATTTCATTGCTGTCTTCCAACAACTTTACGAGTTGAGAGGGCGCGGGTTCAGCTGCCTCAACCAGGCGCTCCTTACGTTGCTCCTGAAGCGCGCGGATGCCAGGGACCTCGGCGACTACAGGCCCATAAGCCTCATCCACCTCGTCGCCAAGATCTTTGCTAAGGTCCTCTCGCTCCGCCTCGCGCCCAAGCTAAATGCCCTCGTCAGCACCAGCCAAAACGCGTTCATCCCGGGACGAAGCCTACATGACAACTTTCTCCTCGTACAGCAGTCTGCGCGCCTGTTACATCAACTAGGCATGCCGCGCGTTCTGCTAAAGCTGGACCTGACTCGCACTTCCGACTCGATCAGCTGGCCATTCCTCTTTGACATCCTGCGCCAATATGGGTTTGGTGCCAGATTCCTAGGCTGGCTAGCGATCTTGCTCTCGTCGGACAGCGCCAAGGTGATCATGAACGGCAAGGAGGCCCGCCCATTTGGCACCGCTAAGGACTACGGCAAGGGGGCCCCATGTCGCTCCAACTCTTTGTTCTCGTGGTGGACACGCTAGGTCGCCTGCTCCGTCGCGCCACCGAGTTGGGTATCCTGCAGCAGCTGCACCCCCGGCGTTCGATCCCTTCTGTCTCGCTGTACGCGGACGATGTGGTCCTGTTCTGCCACCCCACGTTGAGCGACACATTCGCTGTCAGGAGCGTCTTGCAGCTTTTTGGGCGCGCATCTGGCCTTCACGTCAACTTCTCGAAGAGCTCCGCCACCCTAATCCGAGGCGACATGGTGGGCGCCGCGCCGGCCCTCGACCTGCTGCACCCATTGTAGAGATGCCGATCACCTACTTGGGCATCCCGCTCACGTTGCGGCGGCCCACTGCTACCCAACTTCAGCCCGTCGTTGACAAGGTCGCCGGCATGCTACCTTGCTGGAAGGCGCACCTCATGAACAAGGCTGTCCGCCTCGCGTTTGTCAAGGCGATCCTGATGGCGATCCCTATCCATCAACTGCTCGTGCTTGCCCCTCCAAAGAAGACCCTGAACGAACTTGAGAAGATCCACAAAGGCTTTCTCTGGGCTGGGCGCGCGGAGGCTAACGGCGGTAATTGCCACGTCAACTGGCAGCGCGTCTCCAGGCCTATCTCTCTTGGCGGGCTTGGCGTTCGCAATCTGGCGCGCACAGGCCTCGTGCTCCGCACACGGTGGCTATGGTTCAGCCGCACGGACCAAGGCAGGGCCTAGGCTGGGCTGGACCTGCAGTTCAGTGACGACGAGCGTGCGTTCTTCTTCGCCTCTACCACCATGTCGGTTGGGAACGACACGCGGGCCCTTTTCTGGGAGGACCGGTGGATTGATGGGCGCTCCGTCCGCGAGATCGCGCCATGCCTGTACGCGTGCATCCCCAAACGCCGCCGTAAGCTCCGAACCGTGGTGGACGGCCTCCTCGCCAACCGGTGGGCGCAAGATATCCAGGGTGTCATGGGAGTCCGGGAGATGCAATACATGCAGCTATGGCACAAGATTGAGCACACTACTCTCTCCGCTGAGCCAGACCGCCTAACCTGGAAGTGGAGCGCGAACGGCACCTACTCCACCAGATCAGCCTACCTCGCCACATTCCACGGCTCCATCCCCTGTGACGCATGGAAGCTCACCTGGAAGTGTTGGGCGCCCCCGCGTGTCAGGTTCTTCCACTGGCTAGCTCACCTGGATCGCTGCTGGACCGCGGAACGCCTCGCCCGCCACGGCTTGCCGCACCCGAGACCGCGTGCCCACTTTGCGACCAGGCGCCCGAGACCATGAACCTCCTCCTCCTCGCCTGCCCCTTCGCCCGGGAGGCCTGGCACGAGGTGTTCAGTTGGCTTAGGGTCCCATGCCCCCCGCCTGCTCACGAGCCATCTCTCAATGACGTGGCAATCCGCAAGGCAGCTCGCGCCCAAGCCCATGCGCAAAGGCCTCGCATTTGCGGTCCTACTCGTCCCTTGGATGCTATGGAAGCACCACAATGACTGTGTTTTCAACCAAGGCCGCCTCCTGGTTGCTGACCTGCTCACGAAGATCAAGGAGGAGGCCACCCTTTGGGCCACCGCTGGTGCGTTAGGGCTTAGAGCTATCATCCCGCAAACCTGGGATGTCCATTGACTACCATCGCGAGCTGTAACCGCCCTTTTCAATACAATGAAACACAAGCTCTTTTGCGTTTTCTCTGGAAAAAAATGCTAATAGATCCTATAGTTTCATAACTATGATTACAGATTTGGCATTTCATAACTAGAACACTTAAATATAATCCATTGCCACAAACATTAGAGCAGTAACGTTAAACGATTAGCAAGACATAAAAATAGGCGAGCTAGCGCAACAAATTCGAGAACTACCCTTTTATGAGAAATGATCATATTGATTTGACTGAAAGTACTGTAAACCAAGACGAGGTAGTAGCATACACTTTTGCGAGCAAAGGTAGGAGGCGCCTCTGGTGACTGGGATAATCAAGTAACAGCATTTCAGGACCTTCTGGTGTAATTGAAAAGGCCCTCCTTGACAAAGCATATCTCACAGCAATTGCTAGGCCTACCTGTAAGCATGGGAAAGAAAGAGTGCATAACCACAGTTAAAATAATATGTAGGCATGGAAAATTGATCGAAAGCTAATTCCTCTGGGTGACTAGTACTGACTAGTGACTACTTGCTTATTGCTGGCACTATCTAGTCTGTACTAGGCCAAATGTATTCCTCAAAACAAAAATGTCATGATGTTCCATTGTTGGCTGGTAAAAAGCTGAAACCAGCTGGTTCCATCAACACACGGTCAATGTTCACATTTCAACCAAACTTATCTGGGTGATCAAAAGTTCAGACTCATAACCTGTCCCTGTCCATGATGATATTCCCCTTCATTTGAGCCAGACAGACCACCAGACTACCTTTACCAACTTCCACTGGTCTAAACTAACGAGTCCAATTTCAATCATCCTATTGCTGCAAGCTTATGGAGTTAAATACATCTATATTCTATACCTATGGAACTCATGAAGAAAAAAGTATGGGATAACTTCCATGTATTTACCGAAAAGGAAAGGCCACCCAACATACCTTTGAAATATAAACCGCGTTAACTGCAATATTTACCCGGCCAAGAGTAAGAGGGGACAAAAATGCTGCAAACCTCTGCAAATAAGAAACTTTGTTAATTTGGAAGTAAGAATAAAACGAACGTAGCAAACTGAAGCTCTGTTGACAGCTCTCCCCTCTTCTAACTGTATGTGAGAGAGAGAGAGAGAAATGGTGGATAGGTGGGGTCCGGTACCTGATCTGGGTTATCTATCATGCTAACATATTTCCCATCTGGCAAAACATCAGCAACCAGATTCAGCAAATTCTCTCGAGGAACACGTATATTGTTAAACCTGAAAGGACAGTCAAACATGGTTGACATACAATAAATGCCATACAGATACAGTAGACCAAAGGATCTACAAATACAATGACTCACCAAATCCGACCATTATCAACACCATTTAGTCCAATCTTATGGCCACAGTCAGCTATATGGATATTAGGCAACACATTTTCATCTTGATCCCTGATCTGAGCTATGAAAGCGTGGACTCCTTCATTTCTTCCATTTATATGGAGCTGAGCAAAGACGATTGTATGTGTAGCATGCTGTAAAAGGACATAAACACTTATAGTAGCTTATAAAGAAATGTGAAGCCTATATGTACACAAGAAGGTAAGTGAGATTTCATCTCACATTAGCAGCTCCACCAATCCAGTATTTCTGAGCTGACTCGCAGGGAGTATTTATCACAAACTCTCCTGTTTTGGAATCATAAGTTGCTACTGTCTCAATTCCTCGTACCTTCAAGTTCGTCAATAGAAGAGAAGGAAAGCTTCATCAGTACAACTAACATAGGTTACTCAATCAAGAAAAGACATCGTCACCACTTACATTGCTCCCATGACCCAATTCTGTCATTGCAAAACAACCTTTGATAACATAGTTTTCTGTGTCCAACAACCATTTGTCATGATGGCGCTTCGTTCCAAGAAACTTGACAGCGCCTCCCCTTAAATGCACGCATAAAAAAAGGTAAACATCAGAAGATTCTCAATGAAAGGTGGAACCTGTTTTCTTCCAGAACATCCCAGAAATCACAAGAAAATCTTAGAAATTATCATTCTAGTTTTCTGGACAAGATTGCTTGTCACATACTAGCATACAACCCTACAAAATTGATATCCAAAAGCATATCCCTAGATCATCACAAAAGAGGACAATAATAAAAAAGAAAGCACTAAACTTTGAACCAAAATGGGTGTGGTCTTCAATTTTCATCACTATTTCTGACACCATGTTCACCTTAAGTTGTGTGCTAAATATCCTAGATTTAAAACTATTCAAAGATATCCAATAAATAGAACAGAACGAAAAATCCAAATTTTGGCACAATTTACAACCGTCGGGCAGGCATGGAATTTTAGAATGCTAAGTGACAAGCTTCCAGGTTCCGGTAGCCAATGCTAGCACCATTTCCCGGTGGTGCAAATCCAACTATCAAAAATGGAAATAAGAAGCAATTCCCCATTGGTAGCAAACGGTTATCCAGAGGAAATAGTAACAAAAAGGAAAATACCTATACTCCTTTATCTTAAAAGAACAAACCAATGTGGTTAGCTACTTAGCCAGCTTTCATAATTAAGTGCCGCCACAGCGTCACAGTATCTGTATGGATAACTCTTATTGTGAAAAGAGCTACAGTATACACATTAGAAGCTGCCAGTCCAGCAAAACAGAAAGACAAATTAAATGCATAGAAAAGAAACCATATTGAGAAGCCGGACAGCTGAAATAACCGGATGGTGCTGGTCCAGTCGACTGTCAGCCCGCTGATCGTGGAGGCCCAGCCCATCCGGAGCGCATATAAATTCATGTGGCTGCGTAAAGGTTTGTTGGATCCCTTACTAGGTTTTCTAGACACCAAATCGGAAGTGCGGCGGCTAGGTCGTGGTGTGCATCGTCTTCTCCGCCCTCCTCCCCCTCCTCCACTCATGTGTTCCTTTGCAGAGCTGGTCGCCATGCGTTCTCGCGAAGACCAGCGCACGACCAAGCGGCCTCTGGACCTGCTGGATCCAGAGGCGGAGCGCCGCAGTGAGCAAGATCTACGCGAGCAGGCGCAACGAGAGCGGCGGCCGGCTCGCGAGGGGGATTTGGATCCTCCTCCGCCGTCGCGGAACAAGCAACAGAACAGAAAGAAGGAGCAAAGGCGTCGGAGTCAAGATCTGCAACGTAAGGAGAAGCAGCACCAGTTTTGCGGCGACCAGGTTGAAGATCCTTTTGCAAAGAAATCAAAGCATAAGCCATCTGGGTCACTGGCTCTGCCAGCCCAGGCGCAGCTGGCGCTGCCTTCCTCCTCGCAGGGCATGGCCTTGGCGCCCATCCTGGTCGAGGAAGCGGAGCGGCTAGAGTGCTTCAAGTACGGCCGCATTGGGCCCTTCCAGTCGCAACGCCAGTTCAAGCCGCTCTGTGTGTTGTGCAAGGAAGATGGGCATGCTTCTGCTTACTGCCCCTCCTGTGGCAAGCTACTGATGCTTCAAACTATGGGCCACGCGATCCCAGGGGAGGGCTTTTTCTGCTTACAGTTCAAGGAAGAAGACGATGAAGACAGTGGGGTGCTTGGGGGCAATGCGGCCATCATTTCGGCAGATCCAGGCACCCTCTCTCAGTGGATTCTGGAAGATGAACTCAGGCACCTTGTCGAGGGGGCTTGGGACTGGCATGTTGTGCAAATCTCGGAGGCGGAGTTCACGGTAATCTTCCCATCCCCGGACATGTTATGGATGGCCACCCGCAGTGGGAAGTTGTTCCTTCCCCTCAACAATATCACAACAAGGATCCGCGAGTTGGTCTGGGAGGAGCCCAAAGGGGAAGTGATGCCGGAGGTGTGGGTGAGGCTCTCGGGAGTGCCCAAGAAGCACAGCCGTGAGGACAGGCTGATGGCTGCCATGTCTATGATTGGCCTCCCTCTGGTGGTAGACGAGCTCTCGCTCATTCGTCCGGGGCCAGTGAGGATGAAGTTCGCGTGCTGTGCTCCAGCCAAGCTGCGGGGCACGGTCAAGATCTGGTTCAACAACATTGGATACAACATCACGTTGGAGCCGGAGCTCAAGCCCATGCGTAAGAGTGGAGGCCCGCCTCCTCCCAATCAGAACAATTGCAAGGGTCCTGATGGCGATGACAAAGACAAGGAAGAGAGAATGGACGACTAATCCATCGGCACTGAAGCTTGGGACAAGTTGGGCAACAAGGGAAAGGATGGCGGTGCTTCTAACGGGGCCAGTGCCATGGCGGTCGATTTGGTGCCTCCCCTAGCCCCATCCTCGCACCCACAGGCCATGGCTAAGGGTGGGCCAAGCAATGCTCGTGCCTCTAACTTGCTATCGCCGCTTGTTCCTTTGGTGCCGGTGGTGCCAGAGGCTCATCCTAAGGGCATCCCAGCGTCATGCGAGGGCTCTGGTCTCACGGTGCAGCTCTCCCAGTCCCCGCTGTCGATGAGCGTGGGTGGCAGCTCTCCCTCCAATGTGCTCAACAAGACGCTGCCGCTCACACCGGCGCCGACCACTGGTAAGGCTTTCAATCTACCTCCTGAAGATCATGCAAACATTGGCTGGGCTAGCCATGCGTCGTGGGAATTCAGCAAGAGCAACTCTGGCGGCCAAGTTAATAAGACGACGGGCCGCAAGCAGGCGTCCAGGGCAGTGCCAGTTCTGGAGGGTACGGGCGCGCCGGAAACTCCCCGTCCGGTGGTGATGGCTCTCGCCTCGCCTCATCCTACCTCTGGGACTGGGGGAGGGGAGCGCTCCACCCCTCCCTCCGGTGACCCGCTACGCGACAAGGTGGCGGTTGTGGCGCTTATCTCCAAGGCCAAGCGTTCCAAGGCGGCTACGGTAGGTCCCCGCCGTTCGAGCGTGAGGCCAAAGGGCCCCAAGGGCTATCTCTCCTCTCTCGAACGTGCGCAGCTGCTGACAGCAGAGAAGAACCTCAAGCTCACAGGTAACAAAGTTCCAAGATATTCCGTTCTAGATGCTTTCTCTGATGATCACATGCTCGGGTTTTTGGATGATTGCGGGGTTGATTCTCCTTGCGCGGGCTCCTCTGCTGATCTTCTTTCACTCATTCAATCGAAGGAGCTGGCGCAAGCTGCCTTAGCGGAGGCAGCTGCGACTAAGACTGCGACGGCTGGCATGGAAGCAGGGACTTCCGTTCCCAAATCAATGGTGCCCATGGAAGAAGGGGTGGTGGCTGGGGCGGCTGCTCTTTCCTCTCCTCGCCGTACTGGCACGGCGAGGCGCGTGGCCAAATCTTAGAAATCATATTATCTAGATGAGGTACCTTTTCTGGAACATCTATGGGTTCGGCCATGTTGGTAGGAAGACGCAACTGAAAGAGTACATGCATAATGAATCGATTGACATTGTTGCTCTCCAGGAGACAATTAAGTCTGATTTCAGGCACCACTATTTTCTCTTCATTGACCCTCTAGAACGCTTTGCTTGGCGCTGCACTCTGGTGGGCTGCTTCTTGGTTTTAATCGTGATTGCTGTGACATAGTTTCCTGGGACGAGGGTGTCCGGCAAACACCCGTTCTGTGGATTTCTTGGGAGAAATCCAGGCCAAAGTTGTTGCTTGCCGCGGCCCACCTGCTCACTGTGGTGGGCGGTGATTTTAATTTGATTCGCCCCGGTGCTGACAAAAATAACGACATCTATTGGCCACGGGTGGCACTTTTTAACAATGCGATCGCGGCCATGGTGCTTAGGGAAGTGGCCAGATCAGGGGCATGGTACACTTGGACTAACAAGCAGCTCGCTCCGGTCCGTAGCGTTCTGGACCGTGTGTTTGTGTCCTCTGAGTGGGAGATGTTGTTCCCCCTATGGAACCTTATCGCTGAAACTCGCATAGTTTCGAATCATATCCCACTTGTTCTGTTGTCTGGGGAGGACCGTTTGCGGCTAGATTCTTCTTTGAGAAACTGCTTGGTTTGAAGTGAAGGGCTTCAACCAGATGTTCTTAGATAAGTGGGATGCAATCCCTGCCAGGGTTGGGTAGCAGCGCGCCCCCCTGGACATGTGGGTTGCTGCTGCAGCTTCGTGCGTTGCTGCAAGGCTGGGGAGCCAACCGGGGGCGTGACGACAAGCTGCTCGGGGCTAACCTGGTCTCGGAACTGGCTGCCCTGGATGTCCAGGCTGATCAGAGACAGTTTTCTGAGGCTGAATGGGCGCACCGATACGCCATCGAAAATTTAGTGTTGTCCATTGTTCGCTCTGGGGAGCAGTACTGGCATCGTAGGGGTGGGCATCTTTTTTCCATTAGCGTAGGCATCTTTTCTTCCATTTTCAACGGGTTTGCATTAGGAACCGTAGATATCCCACGCCTCAACTTTGTTATTCTCTCGCCAATCCCGAAAGTGCAAGGTGTAGACAATATTCATCAGTGTAGGCCGATTGCTCCCATCAACGGCACTTTTAAACTGTGTGTCAAAGCATGTGCTTCCCGTATGGCCCTGATAGCACATAGGGTTATTCATAGATGCCAGTCTGCATTTATCAAGGGCCGTTTCATCCTGGAGGGCCCCGTTGCGCTCCAGGAGATTGTTCATGAGCTCAAATGCACAAAACAACGAGCGATTCTCAAACTGGACTTTGAGAAGGCTTACAACCAGGTTAACTGGGTCTTCTTGTGGGAAGTGCTGTTTCGTAAGGGCAAGGCGATCCCCTATCGCTGCTTCTCTATAGTTTTGTTGTGGATGCTCTTTCTTCTATGTGGCCAAACTAGCGGATCAGCATAGGATCACCACTGTTAAGTTGCTGCAGCTTTGTTTTGAGTTGATGTCCAGCCTGAAAATTAATTTCCACAAGTGCGAGGTGGTGTCCATGGGGTTGGACATTACTGAGGATAGGAGGGTTGCGGACCTTCTCAATTGCAAGCTAGGCAATTTTCCCATTTCTTACTTGGGTCTCCCAATCTCCACCAAAAACATTTCCATAGAGGAGTAGGAACCTCTGTGTGCCAGTGTGGCGGGCAGGGTTTGCCCGTGCCATGGCAAATTTATGTCTTCCGGGTCTAGGCTGATCCTTACCAATTCTAGCTTGTCTTCGCTGCCCCTGTTTACCATGGGTATGTTCCTCCTAGCCGATGGGGTTCATGCTAGGCTGGACTCGCCTTGTTCCAGGTTCTTTTGGGAAGGGGCCGGTTCCAAGCGTAAGCATCACATGGTCAAGTGGGCAGCAATATGTCACCCCAAGAACCAGGGAGGGCTAGGGGTGATAAACTCCAAACTCATGAACGTAGCTCTCCTTTCCAAGTGGATCTGGAAACTTTCCCAAAATGCTTCGGGGCTTTGGGTGGATCTTCTTAAAGCCAAACATTTTCCCGGCGGATTCTTTTTCGAGTCTGCTGCCCGCGGCTCGCCGTTCTGGAATGGGATCCAACTGGCTTTTGCCTTGGGGGCTAAGTTTGATGTTAACAACGGCGGTCAATCGTTTTTGGTTCGACTCATGAGTGGATAGTCAGCCGCTTTTGATGGAGTTCCAGGCCCTGTTTTCGCTGAGGTTGAGCCAAACATTTTGGTGGCAGAGGCCTTGAGTTCCTCACCACCGGCCATTGCCTTTCACCATGAGCTCTTCCCCATCGAGCGTGGCAGCTGGGCTTGCCGTGCGCTAAGGTGGGTTCGATTAGTTTGAATAATAATCCTGACCAGGTGTAGTGGTACCTCTCTTCCTCGGGGCAGTTTCCGGTTCAGTCGTTGTAAACCAAACTTACCAACGGCCCTGTTTTGAATGTAGCCAGGGAGCTTTGGAAAGCTAGAATTCCCCTTAAAGTCAAGATCTTAATGTGGCAAATGTTCCGTAATCGCCTCCCTACCCCGGTGAAAGTCGCCAAGCGCAATGGACCTTTCGAGGGCCAATGTCCTGTGTGTTCGGTACAGGAGGATGCCAACCACACATTCTTTCGCTGTCATTTAGCTAAATTTGCTTGAGTGCTGTTAGGGAGGCCGTGGGGGTTAGCTGGAACCCTGCTTCTTGTGCCGATTTTCTTACTTGCTTATCTTCTGTGCATGGTTCTTCTAAACGTGTGATGTGGAGCCGTGTTGGGGCATTGCTTTGGTCACTTTGGCATATCCGTGACAAGATAACGATCGAGGGGGGCTTTCCGTCGCACCCAGCTGACTGCATCTTTAAATGCATACTGTTTTTGCAGCAATGGGCTCCGCTGGGGAGGCGTCAAGACGCTGAATGCCAGCAGGTGGCGATGGCTAAGCTCCGTCAGATCAACAACATCGCCAGATCTTCCATGTCGCCTCTTAGGGTAGTTGCGACTTTTAGTGTGCTGAGCATCAGTGCTCTGTTCGGGCTGATCGCCCTGTAAGCTGACTATTTCTATCTGGTTGTGTGAACCTTTTCGTATGACTATTTCTATCTGGTTGTGTGAACCTATTCTTACCATCTGTTCTATGTACTCTGCCTGTTGTGTGGGCTTCGTTCTACATACTGTAAATCAATCCCAATGTGTCTTAAATGTGTTGATTTGAAATATTTTGCATGAAAAAATACATGAAGTTTAATGGCGAGGAGAAGTGGCAATGAAGTAGGTACCAGAGGAAGAAGTGGACGCCGACCTTGATGGCGAGGGAGTGGTCGTAGACGCCGAGGCACTCGAGCAGCGCGAGCTTGTGAAGCTCGGCGTCGGGCCCTGGCTCCGTGAGCCAGCCACGGAACACGCCCCGGCGCGTGAGGTACCCGATCCGGCGCATGGTGGCCTCCCTCTGCCCCTCCTTCCCCTCGTTGTAGTCCGGCGACACGAACACCTTGCCGCCGGCGCGGCGGGGGCAGAAGAGCGGGCTCTCCTCCATCGCGCCGTACGCCCAGTCGCGCTCCCTCAGGTGGTGCCCGTCGAGGAGCGCTCGGAGCTCCATCGGCGCGAACGCCGGCGGGGCCCCGGACGATTCCGGGGGCGCGTAGCTCAGGCACGGGGAGAACTGCAGCCCCGCCACGGCGGCGGCGGCACCGAAGGGGAGGCCAGCGAGGTGGCGGGCGATCGCCGCCGCGCGGCGGGCAGCGGCGGTGGGAGAAGAGTCCATCAGCGGCACGCGTCTGGAATTGGTTGGCGAGTCAACGTGGATTGGTGGGTTGGGAGGGAGGGGAGGGGAGGGGAGAGGGGCAGATGAGAACAGAGGAGGGAGAAGCTTGCGAGATGTTCCAAGCTCCAGGCCAAACGGATTTTTTTCACAGAAAAGCCACCCACGGCAGCAACGGAATTTTTCTGACGCACGGACGCAACGGATTTAAGTATTTTTTAGACGGCCGTAACACAATTGGTACTCCCTTCTGTTCATACTAGCAAAAGGGCCAGTGCGTTGTAAGGAAGGAAAAAAAATCATAATCTCTAATGGCCATGATCATATTTTCTGCATCATCGAGATACACTATCGTTCTTAATTTCGGGAAATCATGAACATTTTTTAACCCGTTTGAAATCATAACATTTTTCAAATTCGTGAACCCTTTTATAAATTTTCTAACATTTTCTAGAATCAAGAATATTTTTAAAATTTATGAAAATTTTATACTGTTTGCAAAAGAAAATAAAATTTTTGAAAAAAATAACAATTTTCTTGAATTGGCGGACATTTCTAGAATCGATGAACATTTTTCTGGAAATTGGTGGAACAATTTTTGAAATTCACAAACATTTATTTATTTAATGAACATTTTTAGAATCATCAAAAAATCTATGAATGAATAAACTATTTTATAAGGCACGAACAATTTTCTAATAGGATATTTTTTTTCATTCATGAATATTTTTTGAATTGGCTAAATTTTGGACATTTCCATGAAAAAAAAATTAATACATAAACTTTTCAAAAAAATCGTGAACATTTTTTGATTACCCAAACATTTATTTTTAAAATTTACACCATTTTTTGAATAAGCAAACATTTTTTTTACAAAATCAATAACATTTTTTGAATCCAAAAAAATATTATTTATTAAACATTTTATTTCAAAATTCTCATTTTAAAAAAATTTAATAACTTTTTTAAGTCCCAAATTATTTAAAGTAGAAAAATATGAAAACGAAAAAAATCAAGAAATAGGTCGTCCGGGCATGGGCCGGCCCATATAGGCGCGCTGCGTCTTCTTTCAGCGCGCAGAGCGTAGTATAGGTGGTCCCTGCTGCATGAGCCGGCCCAGGCGAAGGATTTCCCTGTGTGAAACATTTTTTATCATTTACTAGCACAAATACCCGTGCGTTGCAACGGGGAAAACAGTTTATATTCAAGTTTATTTATAATAATATGTGCAAAAATACATTCGTTCATGCAAATTTTAGTCAATATTTTTGAAGATCCAAAATTATCAAAATAGGACATGCTAATCTTATAGAATATTTCTTTACCTACATCAACATACTTTCCTCCATGAAACAAAATAAAATTAGGAACTTCTTCTTAAAGGAAATTAGGAACTCGATAAAGTTTAGCCAATACAGCTCACAAAATTCGGAGAGAGATAGCATACCTTCGCAACAACTATTATAGTTTTGGGCTTGTTAGTGTGGGGATATTTTGATATTTGGACATTTTCTAGATTTTAAAATATTGTACTAAAATAGTGTTTGGGGCTCACCACGGTTCTTGTTAAAAACAAAGTCATATATGATATTTATTTTTTCATTAATAGTACAAATGCCCGTGCATTGCACCGGGCGAAAAAATGGGCATAACATGCTTTATGTGCCATTGTGCATCATTTTTACATTTATTTTTAATAAACATAGCACATGTGCTCGTGCGTTGCAAATAGCATGCGAAGGAGTTGTCAACAGGATAGTCGCGACGACATTTATATACCTTTGATGTTGTGCACAACAAGAGTGGGCATGGTGGCATAGGGGGAGCGCAAGGGCAACGATGCTGCTAGCATTGGAGAGGGGAGATGTCGACCTCACCAAACCATGCTTCTTCACAACGTGTCCCTTCCCTCCGTGTCGAAGCTTCCTCTCCAAGATGTTGCTCTTATCTTTTCACCGCCAACTTCCTATTGTCGGAAGCACCTTCCAAAAACAGATGTACATAAGCCACCTTCTGTTAAAAAGAAAAAAAAGAATGCCCAAAGAATAAATAATTAATCAAAACCATACTTTAGAACAATGTTTGTCATGTTTTCGGATAGATGTTCATCATGTTTATCATTGTCAATAGATATAAAAATATGTTCACTACCACTGAAAAAGTCCTTAGCTTTCCCCAGGTTCCGGTCAATCACAACTTCACAAGACAAACTTCAAGAATCTGTATTTAAGAGGTCAAAGTGAACTAAAACGTTTGATATATCAAACTAACGGAGTGATATTTCTTCATAGTTTTTTCACGACAAAAATAGACGTACCTCCTCTGAACCCCTTGTGTAGTAAAAGGCATCACCGCCCTTACTTACACATGAGCCATGGAGCCAAATTTCGACGTCACTGTCATTACCTAAAAACTTACCTGCTAGTTGGAATAGATGACCCTACTTCCCTGAAAGCAAATGAACAATAATTTTGTGAAAACAAAAGAATTATAGTATTGTAGCTAGGGAAGAGTAGTGCTACATGCTAACCGTTTAAAACTTTAAAACATATCTGAGATAGACTTTATACTGGATGGACACCACAAAGTCACAGCAAATCTTACTGACGAGCCATTTAATAAAATAGTGTACTGAAAGGTAAATAATAAGGGAAACGATTTTATTCACCCGACCGATCTGTTATGGGCATCTGCCGGTTCCAATGCTCGACGCGTGTCACGTATGGGGTCTACCCATCACTATCTTGCACATCCTTATCCATAGAAAATGGCATCTAGACATTTCTCCACCTCTGAGTAGTCATCTTGTTCCCTGAAAAAATCACGAGTACCTCATTAGCTCTGCCGCTAGCTGTTGCAGCGAGTACTGTGCTGGAAGCCAGCAACCCAGGTGTTGGTGTGCTGGCTGCGCGGACGCTCGAAACCACCGGACTACACCGGTCGTCCCCATGAGAAAAGACGCCGTGCGAGCCATGTCCGTCATCGCCCGCCATGTCGCCGCCGTCCTGGAGTAGCGCCGGTGTCCATGGCTGCCGCCTCCTCGAGCTCAATTGCCAGTGCCACCAGCAATAGTTGCTGCAACATAAATTTTATTGCAAAATAATTCTACAACATGATCTCTGTTGCAAAAAAATTATAAACTTTTTTACAATATCATCTTTCTTGTGATTTTTCTGAAACATAACCTCTGTTGCAAAGATTTCTACAACAGGACTTATATTGCAAAAGCTTCTACAACATTAGCATGTATATAATAAGGTTCGAAAAAACAAAGGCATGAACTGAAGGATTGCTTGAAAGCTTGATCACTGTATCGTCAGAAAGACATTGCAAGAGCTAAACATACCTCGTTAGGGAAGGAGAGGCAAAGCATGCAACGCTATACTTTTAGTTCTTGCCTGACACCATCCAGTGCTTTGACCTGTTTTGACTGAATCAGAGACTCGCATGTTGTTGTTGGCCTGCCGCCGCCCGGCGTCGCCACAGGCAAGCTCGTTCATGCCATCTTCCAATCAGATCAAAATCTGAGCTGATTAGCCATTGGGCCGGTAGCCGCCGACTCTTTGTTGCGGTTTGCATTGACAAAGCAAAGGGGAGATATTAGAGCCACTCACGGGATTAAAGTTGAGGCAGTAGTCGATGGAGTAGGATCACGATGAGCGGCCACATGAACTCAGCGTTTGTTCATCGAGGGCTGCTCGGCCTTCATTGTTTTGGCGGTGCAGACTATCAGGTGACGATGTGGGGGCGACCATGTATGCGGAACCCTCCCCGCAGCCGCTGACACATGGTGGTGATGCGTAGATCCGCGGTTCCGCCAACACCTATGATCGGCTCTCCACTCCGCCGCGCTCGGCATCTCTTAGCCATCGACAGCACTCTGTGACGGGCACCGCCATCAGGTCAATGAGCCCGTGCGCTTTACGTGATCAACGACCATGCCTACAGGGTGGCCCATGCCGACGGAACCTGCCGTCGTTAACGTACCACGTGGGCGCCGTGTCTGGAGATCTCCTCATTGTTGTCAACGATCATCATCCATGACCGTGCCGGCGTAGCGAATCCAAAGAACGCGAATCCTCCCGAAGATGTGGACCTATTGGCGATGGCTTCGGCTGCTACCGTCGGCTTCGGCAAGGGCTCACACCTGGATGTATTGTCCATGGGATCGGCCTTGGTTTACGCTGCTCATCGAGAAAAAAATCTAGGTGGAACGATGACAGATAGCGTATCAGGAGGCGTATTATGGCACATGAATAATACCACCTCGAAAAGCGTAAATTCATGGGAAGAAGCGTATTGTGACGATGAACCCACGGAATCAATCCGTGCTTTATTATTAGGGAAAGATATGTGGCATTGGTTGGTAATATTTTGTAACTTTAGGGGCAATTTCCGTGACGTACCGTAGAAGCAATAGCCCATTTATTATTAGGTATAGATTACTTTTGCTCAAACGAATGTATGTAACACCAGAATACATCTAGATACACCCATTTCTGTGATAAGTAATATGAATTGAAGAGACTGTATATTGTCAAATTCCAAAAAGTCTAGTACTACTATCTTCATTTCAAAATATAAAACTTTTTGGTAGGCTACTACGTCCATTTTAAAATATAAAATGCTTTTGGTAGTCCAGTTACATCCATTAGGCTACCAAAATGTTTTATATTTTGGAATGGAGGTAATAGCACGTTTAAATATATAAATGTATACATACATTTGGCTTGTACATTGGGGAAAATATCATGTGCTTCTGGCCCTCCCATGCTCCCCTTGTATCAGCGCCCCTAGGTCGCTGGATTGTGGATCCAACGCCACAAGAAGAGCTCGCAAAAAATTGCAGAAACTCTTTTGAAGAGTCTTGAAATGTCGGCCATGTTCAAAGGCTCCGATGCTCGTGGATCCTATATCCAACGGCTCCGGAGCTCTTGTACCATGGAACATGGGAGGAGTAGGAGCACATGATATATTTTTTGCGTACATTGTTCCGTATTGTG